TGCTCAGAATTTGGATGAATGAATAAATGGCAGCAAAGCTGGCCCCCTAGCACCTTCTTTCTTTCTGCCAAATCCCAAAAGGAAAGGGTAAGGAGTCTCTTCTGCAGAAGCTCTACTAATACCCAAAGGTCTAGGATGTTTGCTCATCACCCCAGCCATGGAGGGGAGTTTGGGCAGGAAATTAAACAACTCCATCCGTCATATTTATTGAACAGCTACTCGCTGGAAGACACTAGTGCAGGAGGTCACTCATGCACACGAATCCTCAGACTCCAAGCAGAGAGTGTCCTTGCCGCTCCCCATGGCTCTCTCCTTGCTCTCTCCTCTCCAGCCTCACTTGCTGTGTTTGTTCCTCAAGTGCACCAAGCCTCCTGCTGACCCCTCAAGTCACCTATTGCTGTCCTCACCTGGCCCGTATTCCCCCAGGTCTCAGCTCAAGCATGGCCATCTTAAAGAGCCTCTCCCTGCTCCTGCCCTCCCAGGACTCTCTCTAGCTTGTGACCCTATTTTGTTCCTTCCTGTACCTCCTCCACCTCTGTTCATTCTGTGCACTTGTCCATCTATGGACCACTAGCATATAATTCCTGAAGTATGTTTTGATTATGAGCCTGAGTCCTGGAACTGGGCTGCCTGCCTCAAATGCTGGCTATGTCACTTACTAGGCATGTGACCTTAATTAAATTACCTAAATACTACGCCCCAGATTCCTGACCTATAAATGGAAACTATAATCGAAACTTGTCACAAACAGTACCCGTAAATAACACCTTACCATGAAATTAGCTAATGCACATGAATATCTGGAACCTGACCTGGTGCATCCATACAAAGGGCCTAATCGAAGTTAAGACTCCTAATTGCTATCATTTACTGCTGTGTCTCTGGTGCCCAGCACAGTGCCTGCCATATGACTGGAGCTCAGCAAATAGTAGTTGAACACAGGAAAGCCACTGTGGTAAGTCTGAATTCATTATGCACAGATGGGTGAGAGCCTCCAGACGTGTCTGGATAAAGCGCTATGGAACTGAAGGGAAGAGCAGTTTCACTGCCAGAGGTGCCTGAGGGTCAGGGGGGCTGCGGGAGACAGCACAAGCCACAGAGCTCAGGTTGGGAAAGGCTTCAGGGGGACTCGGGAAGTATGGGCTCTGCAGAGTAGTGAGGGAGTAGTGGGGAGATCAAGGGCCAATCTGGGTTATCTTCGCTTCTGCAAGAGGACAGAGAACCGTCCCAGCTTAGCCTCAGAGATGCTCCCCCAAGTCTCAGGGCTCTGCTCCCATCACCTCTCAAGCCTCCCTCAGCTACAAAAAAAAGAAAGCAAAACAAAATGAGATGACCAAAGTGTTCTAAAGCCATGTAACTGCACCCTTGCCCTGGAGGTAGAGACTGGAGAGGAGCAGGACTCAGCCTTCTTGCACCAGCTCAGGAAAGATGCTGGCCTGGCTTCTGAGAAGAAGGGTGGGTAGTGGGGAACCTGTTGACCACATGACTATCTTCAATTTTTTATGTAGAAAACAGGGGTGTTCAAGATCAAAGCTCAGACCAGAAACCTCCTAAAGAAAGGGAAGATTTAAAAGGTCTCCTCCCCTTTTTCTATCTGGGCTATGAGCTCCACCACCCAAAACAGCACATCTACACACATCCAGCCAGGAGCCACCATGGGAACATTTCAGACATGCCTGGCAAACACCGCAAAGCATGGCTGGGTCCCTGGGGAACTCGCCCTGCCTGCCGAGGCAGAGGGCAGCTCTTCCTCTTCTCACTCCCCCAGCGATCTGGCGGCACCTGGGTGTGCACACTGTGTGCACGTGCTGTCGTCCTTGCCAGGGCAACGACACCATGTGGGGTGGGATTCCTCACTGAAGAATCCCACTGGGACCTTTTCACTTACATCAGCAAAATCACTGCTATACATTCCTGGTGAAGGCAAGGGGAGATTGGATAGCCCTCGACAATTAGACTGGCTAAAACTAAGATGGGTGGGGTGAGGGCCTGGGGCCCTGGGGTGAGGGCAGCGAGCAGCACGGCTGCATTGCCTCTCTGGGGTGGTAGCTGAGAAGGACGGCTGGGCTGAAAAGGCAGCATCATTAGGAGTCTGCAGCAGATCAAAGCTCCTACTGAAAGAGAAGGCAGGGCAGACAGAACCCACGAGGGGAACAATTAACTGATAAGAGTAAACTAATTGTTATTCATATTAAATTAGGGCACAGGTGATTTGGAGAAAACCTACAGACCCTCCCAGATGTTTTGCGGATTTTGCATTGCAAATGATGGTTTTACAGGACTCTTCTGGGATTCAGATTATGGGAACTGGGCCAGGACCAGAGCGGGGGCAGGGCTCCCGTCTTGCTTAACTACACAATAAACACATAACGGTTTGTCCCAGAGGACAGACCCGGGCTCTGCATACTAAACATGCTGGTGTTAGGCTTTGGGGGCCTCTGAGAAGAGGGGCTCACTACTGGCAGGGAAGGCAGGGGGAGGGGAAGATCAATCATTCAGGGAGACATGGAGGTGCTCCAGATGTTTGGAGAAAGGGCCAAGCTGGGGGGATTCATCAAGTCCAGACATGGGAGGGAAGGATTTCCACAGACCCTGCAGAGGCCAAGCAGGAAGACAGGGGTGGGAGCATGGCTGACCCGGGGGGATGGTGTGTGTACACGTGTGTCTGTGTGGGTGCAGGTGCTATGAGGTCAAGGGCATCAAGCAGGAGAGTCCGTCCATATGCAAGCATTTCTACGTGCACATGAGGTACTTTAGAGTGTGTGTGTGTTCATGTTGGCGCATTTGCATGTGTAGCTGCCTCTATGTGCATGTTTTGTGTCTACATAGACATCAGTGCATGTGCGTGTGAGTGTCCATACACTTGGGAGGTTGCCAAAACTTCCCACCAAAATGAATGGCAGGCTGTTGTCTCTTCACTGAGACTTATCATGCTAATTTTAATCTCCTATTATTGTTTTAAATTGGCTCTAAAAATTAATATTAAAAATTCTGTAAACACAGCCTGGGACTAACATGCAAGACAGGTCCCTAGAAAGAGGCTTTATTATTACAACTGTTCCTGCCAGAATGCTGAGGGAAAGCCGAGAACCCCTGCAGACAACATCTCTGAGCCACAGCCCAGCAGGACCAGGCGGACCAGAGCCCAGTTAGTCTAACCCCTGTTTTATTACTGAAAAGACCGGCTGGGGGGAGGTCTTTTGCTAGTGCCTTCAGAACCTGCCTGAAATCCAGGCCTCCTAATTGCCATGTTTCCGAGGTCTCCTGAGTTCACCCCGGTGGGTCTGTTTCCCTGCTGGTACAATGAGACAGTCTTCATGGTCATTTCTGTCCTCCCATTTGGTGATTGTGTGGCTGCGGCTGGCTGGCTCAGCAGAGGAGGAAGGCAATGTGCCCTCCAGACTGGCCTGGCCACTCCTCCATGCTCTCTGGTACCCCCCTCCCCACCATCCTGCTCCTGCACCTGCCCTTCAGCTGGTTTGGAGTCTAAGGAGAAGCAGAGCATGGAGGCAAGGAAAATACCAGCAGAATTCCCACTCAGGAAAGGCCTCTTAGCAGAGTCTAAAGGAGGGGCTGTAGTAGGGGCAGAAGAAGGCTGAGCAGCACTGGCTGAGATTCCACTCATTAGGAGAAGCAGGAAATGCTCCTGTACTGCAGCAGGAGGTACTCAGGTTAGATTCGGAGGAAGTTTTGAGCGCATGACAAGAAGGGACAGCTATTCCTAGAGACAGTCATTAAGGACACATTCACCTGTCTGTGATGATGTGCACGGTGAGGTGAGGTGCCTTCCTCCCCTCAAGGTCTTGACCAAATTGGCTGATTCTGCAGCCTCTGCTCCCACCCCACCTGCACATCCTCAGTGGGAACAGCAGGGCCAGGCCCTGTCCTGACAAGGAAGAAAAGCTGATAAAAAAGAGTTCCGTGGTCCTCAGCCTGGGCGGGAAGTATGGGGACACAGCTGTGGTTAAGCAGTGCCTAGCCGTGGGGCTATGACTAGTTTCCCGGGCAGGGAAAGAGGGAGACTCTGGAGAAGGTACCAACAGTCCCTGGTCCCGCCGCGAACCCCGCCCTGGGAGTTGGCCTCCTCCTGGGGCTGTGAAGAGGACGCGGCGGCTGTGGCCAGGTGTCCAGGAGCACCGGGAGATGCCAACCTCTAAAATGAGTGCAAGGATGGCTTCCAAGTCTCCCACAGGCTGACGAAGGAGTATCTGGAAATAGCTCCATGGAGGGCTTCAAGCCACCTTACCAAACGTCCAAGTGCGCGCCTACTCACTGGCCTCTGTCCCCTGCCCACCAACACATCGCAACGGAGGCCCGGGAAATTCCTGGAGAGCCCGCTGTCCCCGGCCTCCCCGCGCCTCTGCGCCCACGCAGGCCTCCTGGCCCTCTCTCTGGAATGCCCGGTGCACTGGCCCGGAAGAGGAGGTTGGGGGTGAAGCTGACACGCGCCTGCTTCCACGGGGTAGCAGGGGCAGCAGGGCCCACAGGTGGGGCCGTTCTACGGCCGCCGTCTGAGGACCCCTGCGACCACCCCTTACGAGCATCGGTATCCCGGCAAGGCACCGCCCGCCCCCACCAGCCACCTTCCATCCGGGGTGCCTGAAGCCAAGGAGGAAGCCATATCCCCCACCGGCTCCCCAGCTCGGCCCCTTGGTCCCAGAGAACCGTCCCCCCCACCCTCCCGCAGCAGCCCGGCCGGAAACAATCACCCTTTGAGAGAGACTGCCAAGTTGGGCGCCAGGAGCAGCCAGGATGGAGGCGGGGTGGAATGGGGGTGCAGGCGGGGGCCGAGCTTTAACTCTCGAGAGCCGAGATCCGGGGGTGCTTTCGGCCCCTGCCCGCCACCCCAGCTCCCGCGCCCGAAGCAAGAGTCGCCTCCGCAAGGGAGTGTGCTGGGGAAGGGTGGGGGGCGGTGGGGAGGTAATACCAATCCCTTAGGGGGTCCCCTCGCCGGTCTCCCTCTTCGCGCCCCCGCCTCGGCTGGCGAGGTTGGTACCGACCATTAGCAGCTCGGGTCCCGCCGGCGCTGGCGCGGGCTCGGGGCGGGGGCGGGGCGGGGGCGGAGAGCGGGTGGGGGCGGGGCGGGAGGCTCAGTCACAGCCGCGGCGGCACCGGCGCATCCGCCGCCACCGAGGGGACTCTGCGCCCGCCGGGTCGGATCGACTCCGGCCGCGAGCCTCGTTCGCCCCGCTCCCCCCCAACCCCCGCGCGTGATCCCCGCGGCGCCCTTCCCGCTCCCCGCCCCCTGCCTCCCTGCCCGCGCCCTCCCTCCCGCGCGCTCCCAGCCTCCGGCCGCCGCCTCGCAGAGCCCAGAACGAGCCGGGCAGGGGCGGCGGGGCCGGGCGGGGCTGCGGGCGGGCGGGCGGGCGCGCGGACCCCGCGGCTATGAAGTGGCCCCCGGGGGCCCGCAGCCCGAGAGTTCCCGGGGAGGGAGGCGCGCGCGGCCCAGGGCAGCAGCCTAGGGACGCCAGGGCCGGGGCGTAGGGGCCGCCGCCCGCGATGGACCGCGCCGGGAACGCTCCGGACTCGTCGCCGCAGGTCAGTGCTCCGCGCGCCCCCGCGGGCGCCCAGCCGCGCACAGAGCCCCTTTCTGCGTCCCCATCGGTGCCCACGCCATGTCCTCCCGGGCGCGCGCTGGGGCGTGTGTGTGTGTGTGTGTGTGTGTGTGCGCTGCGCGCGCTAGGGGCAACTGGAAAGGGGGCCGAGAACAGAGCTGAGGCCCGGAGGCGCTGCTGCCTAGGGACCACGAAACAAAACCCGGCACCACCTGCCCTTCTCGACCGGGATTAGGGGAAGAGCTGGTTCTCAGCAGCTTCTAACAGTTGGCCCGGGCTCTCCGCCGTCAGTTCCTGGGCTCCTCAGCAGGTGGTTTCTGGTGGCCGGATAAGGAGTCAGGGGTCAGTCGTCCCTCACCTCCCCACCCCTGCTGCCCACCAGCCCTCTCTGGATTGCTCTGTGGCTCCTGAGCACTGCCAAGTTAACTCTCTTCAGGGGGCCTGAGCTCTGCGGGGCATGCTGAGGGACCCAGGGATGATAAGGGTGGCAAAGGGCTCTTGGGACCTTCGGTGTAGCAAGGAGCAAAGAGGCGCGACCAGTTAACCACCCTCCCATCTGCGCCTGGTCTCAGATCTGAAGTCCCAATCCCTATAAAATCAGAGCACACAACTTCCAGAAAAAGGAAGCTGAGAGTTGAGGCAGGAAGTAGAGAAGGAAGCCACCGGGTCCTACAGTGCCAGGGAAAGGAGGCGACAGCCCCATACCAAGCAGCTAAGGTCAAGAACCACCCCCACATGCACACACAGGGGAGCCTTGGCCAACCTCCCTGTGGCCTTCCTCCCCCAGTCAGGCCTAGCTGCATGGATTCTTGTAGAAGCTGGAACTGAAGGACTCCATAGATTTCTAATGTACAGGACTGTAAAGGGGCTGTACACTGTCACTTTTACTGACAGTGGCTAGCCCGGTGCATGGGCACCAATGTGGGTGGGGTGCCCACTGGGTCCTAGAACTTGGGCTGTGTAGCATGCACTGTTGAAAATGATGCGGTGCAGACGTCCTAGTGCCTAGCACTGTGCAATGCCTGGATGTGTTCTTGCAGAAATGGGAGGCGCACCACTCCCTAAGTTACTAGCGCTGTGGGGCATGTTGTTCTAGGGTTTTCTAGGATTTGTCTCCTGTGATGATGTTTCCCTACCTCTGCTTGGCAGCCACTACAGAGATTGAGACATTTCCCCCCAGAGCCTGCTCAGTTGGTAACCATTAGTGACCTTACGGGAGCTAACATCAAGGCTTCCCTTTCTTCCATGGGGGTGAATACCCTTTTCTAGGGTCTTCAAACAGACTTCTCACTCTGCCCAGTTCATGCTGAGCACTGCCAAAGGTTCTGGAGCTTTGTGACATTTTCCCTCTGCCCCTTTTGATGGAAACAGAAATGCTTGCTGAGGTTAACAGGACTGGGAGAATAAATAATGCATCTGTGCCCCATTCAGCACTGGAGCTAGGAGCTTGCTGTTCCTGTTTCTGTGCCTGACCCCAAGGTGCTTGGGGATCACCACAGGTCCAGGCGCTGGGTTGATATCTATATCTAGCTTTCTGGTTGAGTGGGTATTCACTCTTCCACCAGAAGCAGGGGGCAGGTAAATCCCTGAGCAGATCAGCTCCAGCAACAGGATTGGCACCCGTGGCAGAGACCAACGAGCTTCACAGGAGGATGCCCAGGGGCAAGTCCAGTTTCCCATCTCAGGCTTCTGGAGAGACCTGGAGGTTCTCATAGTGGTTTCCTGGGAGTGAGAGGACCAAGTCAGATGTACTTTTCCTAGTTGTGGAGCACAGGGTGTTGAGGCAGGCTGGGAGCTGGGAGTGAGATGTGAAAGAGGATGTGCTGACTGAAAGACTGAGCGGACAGGAGCATGGGGCGCTCCATTGTGTCTGGAAGAGAAGGATGATGCTCCTCTCTTCTGAGAATGGAGGGGAGGAAAGAAAGGGGCTCAGGAGGAGAAGGAATCAGAGAGAAAGCCTGACACAGGCAGAGAAGGAGGCAATGAGATAAGAGACAAAGGCACGGAGGCACACTGGCGGACGGCAGAGGGAGGCACACAGGCAAAAGTCAGGGCGTGCCAAGTGGTGAGTTGGGGCAGGATGGGGGCCTTCCCCATTCCCCCACATTGACCTCAGCAATTGTCCACCCCTGCAAGAGGCCCCTCAGTGAAGCAGTTGGACATTCTGTGAGGAAGATGCTTTCCTATCGTTCTGATGAATATAAGCGTCTCTTACAGAGAAGCCCAAAGGCAGAGGGAGGACAGGCTATGAGGTCAACTGCACCAAGAGCTTGCAGGGACTTTCAGGGACACACTTCGGCCCCTGATATCTCCCAGTGCTGAGGGCTCCTTTCTATCTTCTGGCCCCTGCCGTAACCCTCCTGGTCCTGGAATGCATGGCAGTGGTGAAGGGTGTGGGGACAGGGAAACCTGGCACTTGGGGAGAAGAAGAGAAGGCATGCACCCCATCCTCAGGCCTCCAGGCAAAAAGACCTCTGGGGACCCTGCTGAAGACTAGCCAGGGGACATGGAAGAGGTGCACTGGGGACAGGCCCTCAGCCAGGCTGTATGAGGTCCAGTCTCAGCTCCATCTGTGGCTAGCCGAGTAGTCTTTGGAAAAAGAGCTCTCTAAGCCCCAGCTTCCTGATGATCTATAAATCGGGAAACTGTCATCTCACCAGTTTTTAGAAGAAATACTAGATGTATTTTAATTTAATCTATGTATTTTATACACTCTCACCCCTTCTTCAGGGATCAGGATGGCTCTAGAATTTGGAGTAGCAGTGTCAGGCCAACCCTGGAACCAATCCCACTGGAATCGGGCGGTCTGTCCCACCTCCCTCCTCACCTGCTTGGGGTCATCATACCTCCGGACTCTGGGTTGGACCCACCCTTCCTTATCCCGACCCAAAGATTCCAGAGCATGCCTCAGCTCAGAGTTCATCCTTGCCAAACACAAAATAATGTTTTCATGTCTAATTAGTGTTAAATAGAATCCTTCCAATTTTTCAGCATGGTCATCTAAAAAAAATCATGAAACTTACAAAAATTTCATATCAGTGAGCCCTTCTTATCCATGCTGAAAGGCTGTCAAAGGTCCCCCAAAATTCAGTTAATTTGCACCAACACTGACCAAGCACTTACTGTGCTGGAGGCTCTGCACCAGGTGCTGGGAGCATAAAACATCAGATAATCCAGATATCCAAATCTAGTGTTTTTCTGGTTAGCTTTGGACGGGTTATGTGGGTTTTTTCTTTTCTTTTCTTTTCTTTTTTTTTTTTTTTTTTTTGCAGCTACAGCAAATTTACTTTTCTAATGAGGTTTAGCTCCAGCCAATATTAAAATGAGCCTGCGCTCCCTGCGCACACACCAGCTGACAGCGGGGCAGAGGCAGCCTCCGCGCCAAGTGCCTGGCAGGGATTAAGGCTTTGCCACTGATAAGCCCAAAAGTGGAGAATATAAGTCTGGATCAAGAGTTGACTGGATTTGAGGACTAACCTTGCCCAGGGGGCTATGGGTTCCATGGCTCAGCTTCAGAGCCATGGCAGGAGCTCTGTCTTCTCATATGTGGGAAATGTGAGCCAGCTATCTGCTCACAGGAAGAACAGCAAGCGGGATGAGGAGTGGAGACACGGAGGCGCGGCGTGGGGAGTGCCAGTGGCACTGTAGTTGGAGGCCTGGCTCTGCCTGTCCTCTGGCTGGCTGTGTGGGGTGCGGTTCTCTCCTTCCCCTCTGCCCATCTTGCTTCCTCTGTTTAGGGCAGGTGAGCAATCTGGCCTCTGAGGCCATGAGTCTGTCTTTGGATTCTGGGCTACTTATTCGGCTGTCATCCAGAAACTATTAGAGGCTGACACAGGACATTGGGGGCTGCTTCCCTCCCCACCCTGAGCAGCTCCTCAGTCACACCGGCCACATTTCAAGTACGAAACAGCCACATGTGGCTAGAGGCTGCCATCTTGGGTGGCACAGATACAGAATGTTCCCGACAGCACCGAAAGTTCTAGCAGACAGAGTGTTGTGGACCTGAGCCTGCATGGGTGGTTTGGCAGGGTGGTAAGTGCAGGGCCATACTGGCTGGACTCAGATCCCAGTTCTGCCGCTTGATAGCTGTGTGGCCTTGAGTCGTTGCTTAACATCTCTGGGCTTCAGACTTCCCGATTTTAAAATGAGGGTAATAATAGGATGTTTCTGAGGAGGAAATGAGTCATTACAGTTAATCATGCTAATCACTCAGGGCATGCAATAGCAAGGGCTTTTTTATTTTTTATTTGAAAATAGGAAGCCATTTTTCTTATTCATGTATTTAACAATTCAATTAAATGCTTATTGAAGAGCTCACTCTGCCAGGCCACCCACCCCCCATTAACACAAGGCCTGCTACCTCTCTGATCCTTCCTGAGCCTCTACCTCCTCCCCTGGGATGGGATTATTCCTGCACCATGCATCCCTGGAAGTGAGAATGAGATGAGGAAAGTATCCTCTCTTTATGTGGACGAAGCCAGATAGAGAGGCTGATGGTTTTTGGAGGCAGGTGCAACTGAAATTCTGTTTTAACACTAAAAAGCATCTGCTAAGCCCCCATACTTTCAAAATAAAGGGCAGCAAAGGAGGTGTGGTTAGTTGGCACCAGCCAGCACCGTACTGAACAGGGATGGAGGA